GGCTGTTTGGCTGCTGCAAGCTCGCTTGACCATTTGGCCAACAAGTTGTATCCTTGGAGCTGAGCTGTTATCTGCTGCCAACAAATCAGAAAATTCTTATCTGTGGCCAACGGGCGACCAAGTGTGAAAGTTAGCAGTTGGCTTCAGCACTTTCGCCTTCACTTCGATCAGTTAACGCTTTAAAGCCGCAAACTTTTGGCCGGCCAAATTAAAGGCGAAATGAGCTGCCATAAATTATGCAACATTTTTGCCAAGAAAAATGGCTAAACAAATGATTGACATGTGCGGCATTTGCAACAACATTTGAACTGTTGCCAGTTGCCACTTGGCTGTTGGCAAAGTTAATGCCAGCAACGCCCACCCGCAGCGGAAACGCAGCAGCAGCAGCGGAAGTTGCGTTCGTCTGCGTGTGTGTGGGTGGGTGGCTAGCAAAACTTTGGCAAAGTGAAAAACTTGCTGTCAGCATTAGATAAGCGCTTCAAGTTAATAGACTTGTAAAACACACGCTCCACCACACACGCTGACCCCCCGAAACTCCGACTGGGCTCAGCTCAGACTCGACTCGACTCGACTCGGCTCTGGTTGCAGCCGAGAACTGGATTTTTATTTATTTGTTTGTCGTTTGGCATGTGGCGCGTGTCCCAGCCCCGCTGCGGATCACATAAAAAATAGTGAAATAAATAAAAATGTTATACACGCCCCTGCAGCCGGGCAAGGGCTAGGGCTAGGGCCAGGGCGAGGTCGAGGTCGTTGGGGGCAAGGGCAACCCTTAGCCAGTCGCTTATCGGGCCAGAACTAACAATTTAAGTTGTCAACTTGATATGAGCAAGAACAACAACAACAAGAACATCAGATATATTTGCCAATTGCCTCTGTCTATATCTGGTTGGGCGAAACTTTTCTGTTTAACTAGTCTCTTGGTTAATTTCGACGTCTGTGCCCCGACCTCTAATCTCTCTCACTCTCCCCCGCCCTCTCTGCTCTTTGTTTGATGAAACTCGGCGTCGTCTTGGTCAAAGTTTAGCTCATCAACAAATGACCGCACAATGCGTGTGTGCTGCATGTGCCTGTACGTGTGTGTGTGTGTGTGTGTGTGTGCGTGTGCCAATTTGGTTTCGGCCTGATTGACAGGCCACTTCCCTTGGCAATAGAGTATGGAGTGTGGAGTAGGGAGTATGGAGTATGGAGCATGGAGTATGTGTGCGCCGGCTGCTTATCGTTCAACTTTCAAAGTCAATTTCAATTAATCAATTGTCAAGTATTTTGACAGCCGAATTTATAGCTCACTAAACCACCAGCCGAGACCCAGTGCAATTTGTGTGTGTGTAACTTTGTGCGATTAGTTCCAACTTGTTACAGACGCCGACTCTTTCAGTTTATGAACTAATTTACTTGCCCATGGACATGACACTGGTCCGACATCGCATATGACGTCGCTCAGATGGAAGCTCGATGCATGCTCGCTTGATTCACTTATATTTTTAATAACTAGATAAATGAAACACGTAAGAGGGCTCTAGTCGAGACTGCTCGACTAGGAGATACCCTGAACGCCCCAAAATCTAGTATTCGAATCATTGTGCACTTCTCTAATGCACACATACATACACATACACACATATTCGAGGAGGAGTGACCTTGAGGGGTCAGTTATAGAATACTTAAAACTATATATTTTGTTCCAATGAGTTTCTTATTAAAATAGTTTTTGTTTATGATTTCACATTTTATTTTATAAACATTTTTAGATATATATTTTTTTGCTTTCAACAAAAATTTAGCATTACATTTGAGTATTTTATCAAAGACATCTTTATTTTATTTAAAATTCTATATTTTGGAATGTAAAATATAAATCATGTAATATATAAATAATGCTATAAAGCTTTCTGCCAAGTTAAAATAAATTTGTGCTAAACAAAATTGGTAGTTTTTATATTAGAATAAATAGTTCTTTGTTTGACATATTTCAATAATTTTGTTTATATATATATTT